AGAAACTTACACCAAATATTGATTTCTAAGATAAGAAGCACCAATACCACCTGAAGCAAAAATTAGCACAAATCAGTTTCATGAAATACAAAATGAATAAGGAAAGTGAAAAATCAATAATCTATACAGCAAAGAAAAGTCAGGAATTCGGGGTGGACGTTAAAATATATGTGCAGTAATAAAATTGAAAAAATTTGAGAAAATTGAAAACCCTACAAAATAAATAAATAAATCAAACCGCTCCTTTTTCTACCAAGTAAATCAAACATATAACACAAAATATCAAAAAAAACCTAGAGGTGAGTGTGGAGTAAAGATAAAGAAAGCGCAAAAAGAAGAAAATGGAAAAACTAAAAACTTACTTTAAGATTGAAAATGGAGAAAGGACGGGGCTTGGCAATGGAGAGAAAACGACGGACTACACATGAAAATGGATAGAAATGCACTGAACAACTTCAAGGCACTGAGAGAAATGGAAAGGGCGGCTCAAGAAAATTGAAAATGGAGAAGACAACGTTAATTTTTGACTTATGTAGTTTGGGTAAATCCAATTAATTGTGGGCCCATATATCCCACCACAATTCTTGGCCAAGTATAAGAAATTTACCGACTACATTTATTTAGTCGGTAAATATTGTGGCGCCATGACCCGCTAAAAAATAAATCTTATTTTGGCCGACTATTTTTAATTTTGGTTGGCAAATATGTCTTGTTTTCACCTACCAATACCTATTTTGGTCAGTAAATACTGTTTTAGCGACTAAATATACGTTAGTGGGAAAAATTTTGGTTGGCAAAAGACTATTAGTATTGACTAATGTTATTGGGTTGGTAAATTCTTGGTCAGTAAAGATATTGCTGACCAAGTATTTCTATTGGTCGTTATAAGAGAGTTTTCACCGACTAGAATTTGGTTGGTCAAGAAATCTATAATTTCTTGTAGTGTGTCTACCATGTGAGATGGTTGCTTCATAGATGCTTCGAGATAAGGTTCTAGCTTGAACTCCAACTTTACATATTAAGAAACTTCCACAATATCAAGCTTCTCCAAATGCAATAATACAACAGCTTTAGTAAGATTCTATTGTCCAATTCTTAGGAATCGTCCCTTATTGGTTGTCTACGGATTCCATTATCAAGAAGTGTATCCATGACTTCTTGCAATAATTTCTCTCGATGTGGATTTACTCACGTCTTCGGTGACTCTTAAAAATATAAGGTATAAGTTACTCAATTCTACTAGATTGAACTACATATCTCTATAAATACTTGAGAATTTACAGATGTACATTTTTAGTGGCATCAATATGCATTCTAGAAATTCTTCCGAAAGTAGTTGTCTTTAAATAGATCAATCTAAGACATGACTCAAATTTACTCAGTGTTTCACTCGTGAGCTTGATTCTTATTACTGTTTTAGCGTTTTCTTTCAATTTTACAGTAAAGTATTTTTGCATGGATATAGATTGTGTTTATCTGATGATATCGTGTGTATGTATATACAGACGGGATATAGGCATTTAGACACTGCAAAAGTATATGGTTCTGAGCCGGCTTTGGGGAATGCATTAAGGGAAGCAATTTTTGATGGAGTAATTGAAAGAGAAGACATTTTTGTAACATCTAAACTGTGGGAAAGTGATCACAATGATCCTATTTCTGCACTCAAGCAATCCCTGCAGTAAATATTTTCAAAATTGTTCTTTCTCTTATCAACATGGTATTGAACTCTCACTGTTTCGTATCAAGCCTTGGTGAAAAGAATAAAACTAACCTGATAATTTTGATACAAGAAGGAAACTAGGAATGGAATATGAGGATATGTATTTGGTACATTGGACAGTGAAATTGAAGCCAACTGGACACGGAAAAGACATGGTTTGGGATGGAGAAATGCCTGGAAATGGGCTTGTGTAGGTCTAATCTTACCCGATGATAAAAGTTGTCCAACCCAAAATTGCCTCAGAAACGATTAAACAAACCAACTTCTGGGCAGCAAAAATTACGTATACACTGTTCTAGCAAAATATTGGTCATAGGTGAGTCATACATGGCATTAATATTTTTGAAGAATCTTGGAGTTTCTTTTTACTGAACATGGAATATTTTAGGTCACTGAGCAAACGAGCAGTTCCATGACAATACCCATCATGAATAGCTGTTTTAAAATCCCCCAACCC